CATTTCTCTGTAATAAACTCTCTTTTCCAAAGATGAGTGATTTCTCAATCAGATATATTTATTTTCTTTACTACTTTGTTGTTTCAGCAACATTAAATTTAAAAACTGTACTTTTGAGTTAAAATATATATTTATAATTTTAATAAATGACAAATTAAAAAGGCATGAAGATTTTTTTGTATCGAAAAAATATCGAACCGTGACAAGTATCGAACTGAACCGAACCGAACCGTGAATTTTGTGTATCGTTGCACCCCTACTGTCGCGTTAATCATGATTAACACGATTACTTTTTTTTTTATTTTACGTAGTTAACACATCTGGAGCGCAGAATGACTCAAAATCCCTGTCAATGCATTTCGCGCAGTTTGTCCATTCTGTGCTCCAGATGGGTTGATTGCGTTAAAAATTTTTAATCGCATTAATCGTGATGATGGCATTGATACCTTAACACTTACAGACCTAATTATGAGGCAAAGACCCTACAGTAATACTGAGAAAATCATCTGCAGCTAACTATCCAAGTCAAAGTTTTTTTTGAAAGAAATCTTTTGGTCACACTCTGCAATTAAGCTAAAGGGGCTTGTTTATAGTGGAAAGTAGATACGCCCCAAAGGACGGAGGAGGGGACTCCCAACCGCTGACTGCTAGCTGAAAGTTGGCTGTCAGTTAACAGACAGCCGACTGACATCTGGCTGAAACCGGCAATTTTGAGTGGCTGTTTCTATACCAGGAATTGAACCACCAACCTTCCGACTGACAAGCCCCTCCAGCAGTGATGTACTGAAAAACATTTGTTCACACAATTTAGCAACGTCGTTGACATAAGTTCTGAATGTTTATACATTTTGCATGCACGAAATAGAAAACAGAAAAACATATGTTTGATTCCTGTGCTTAAAAAGTCCAATATAAATTCAAACTTGTGCACCCAATAATTAAAATAATAATAATAGGAATAATTAAAAGCCCATAATTATTTTTGATGTTATGTATACACTAATATTGGTTTTAATTCTGTAAATAGTGATGCAGCTTGATTACCTTGCAGGGTTCAGTATGCCGATCTGAATGTGACACGACCAGAGGGGGAGATTGGCAAGTATAAATCAATTCCTCACCATCACAGAGGAGAGGTGCAGTTTCTTGGGAGGTAAAGTTTCTTTTTTCATATTAAAAAATACATTTACAAAATGTCCTAACTAATGAATAATATCTTTTTTTAAAAAGCATTAAACCTTTAATTTTAATTTGAGTTTATTTTGTTTTGATTCTAACTGCAGCAGATCTAACGTCCTCTAGATAGTGCATACCAATATGTTGTACACAAACATAATTTAGAAAAAAGAGCAGAGCAGGCCATCCAGTAATTGAAACATAGGTTTGTTGGATTATGGTTTCCACCGGTCTGTATCTTTGTACCCTGATGTGTTCACTTGTCTATGGGTCTGTTTATGAGAGGAAACTGTATGCACAATTTAAAGTTGCTACAAGAGGTGTTTGTATTAACTTCAGACCTTCTTAAGTCACACCATTGGTAATGGTGTTGAGACCTTAGAGTGCATCTACTGTATCTGCCTTTACCCTGATCTGCACACCATCTGAACTACACACCAGTGTAACATGGCGGAAATGTTATGGCCTGGGAATGTGGAACCATGTGAATTTTTTTAAAAATAATGCGATTGCTGATGGAAGTAGCAGGATGAATTCTGAAGTATACAGGACTATACTCCCTGCTCAGATTAAGCTAAATACTGCAAAATGTAACAAATGGTGCTTCACAGTACAAAAAAGTCTCCTACAAGTAACCCAAGAGTTTCTTAGGACAAAGGAATGGGATATTCTTTAATGATCAAGTAAGTCAACTGATCTCAATCCAACAGAGTTTATGATTTTCAGTGACTGAAAATAAAGCGACACAGTTCAAATAGTCAACAACTGAAGCTGTTTGCAGTAAAGGCCTGCAACCAGTAATCATTTTCAGTATGATCCGTTTCTCTAATTATTGTAGAAATTTGGCCCTCTGTACCTGACGTTGTTGAGGTTCAGAACATTTCGGTCAAGTTTAGATCTGGACTTTTATTGGGCTGTTGCAATATCGTGGTTCCTTTCTTTCATTTTCAGTCATTCTGTTCTATATTTAGTAGTCAGAGGGAGAGAGCCCCATGTTTGACTCTGGAATACTTTGCTATACAGAGGAGTTCATGGTTGACTCACAAGTCCAAGTCCTCAATCCTCCAAGTCTGTACTTGATAGTGTGTTTTTGTTAATATGCTGTTTTCACAAAATTTGGCCTTGTGAATTAAAGCCAAGCATCTTCACTTTTGGTCTTATCTGTGGTATGTTTATATCTAACTTTGCAAAACCGAGCCATGTGTTTTTTTAGAGAGAAGAGGCTGTCTCCTGGCAACCCTTCCAGACAAGCCATACCTGTTTAGTCTTTGTGTAAATGTACTGTTATGAACTCTGGTATTTAACAGTAACTGGGGCCTGTGGAGTCCAAGATGCACCTGAGTGCTCCAGACCAGCAAATCTGCTTTTGTAAATGTGTTCACATTTGCTGATGATCAGTTACGCAAGTATATTTGATTAGCAGCACCTGTTTGATATGCAGTCCATTGGGGTGGTGTAGAGAGGGAGGCAGAATTACAAAAGTACTGACCAAGTACTTCCGGACCTGACTATATTTAGATAAGTGTTACCTTAATGTTGGACCAGTTTAGACACTTTGGGTCTAATAACCAGATGCTTCAATCTTGTAAATGCCCAAATAGGAGTAGAGCAGGTAGAGTGTACTGATACTGTGTCACTTTTTTTGTTTGTAGGTATAAACTCCTAAGATATTCTAAAGAGCGGCAACACTTGGATGGTCTCAACAACTTGCGTTACAGTCCACACATCTCGCTTAGTAGTCTCTACAAGAACATCTCTGTGGACCTTTATCCTGAGCTTTCCCCTATCACAGAGTACTGAACTGACCCAGCCACATCTTCCTGCACTCCCTGAGCTCACCCTGTTCTCTTCCAGTCTGACCTCCTGGTGTTATCTTCAGCAGTTCAGAGGTAAAGCTGTGGAGAAGAGGAGGTGGCACAGGCTCTGAGGGATAAAGAGAAGCGCCATATAATGCTGCCAAGAAATCTTGCTGTGGAAAAAATCCAATCCAAATAAAAAAGTTTTTTTGTGTTTCAAAGGCAGTGGCTAGTTTCTAAAGATGAACAATTCATTCTGTGTGTCAGTTGAAAAATGTGTGGGTGTGCTGAGTGTGAATTGATGGGTTTGTTGCTGCATGTCGTTTTGTTTGTACCAGCTTAACTACAAGTCGACATTAATCTTGAGCAGCAGTTATCTCAACTCTAATGTTTACTGCAAAGCCTTAATGTGGCAAAACCACAGCTCCCTGCTCTCGGCTCTGCACTGCTTCACGTCTGATGTATAAAACCATCACCTTACAAGCCAATAAACATTTTTTTTCTCAACTTTTATTTCATTTGTTTGATACATATCATTTTGTTATAACAGTAATCTTTTTAAAAGAGGGACACACTGTTAACATTTATATACATATATATGTATGATGTACATTTTTTTTCCTTATTTTGATAAATTGTATTTATTTTCTGTTTCAGGATGTTTAGTATTTCTCTTTTGTCTTGTTTTTTCTCCTGCACTGCTGCTGAATCTGCATGAACATGTATGTAAATATCAGCCTCTTAATGATCACAGAACACAGATATGTAAATAGTCTTTGAATGCTTGAGCAAATACAGTGATATTCCAGTGGATATGAATTTTATTTTGGCAGCTACCCTTGATTTGAGTATTTAATAAGAGTGAATCATTCCTTTCCAGCTGGAAGTTCTAATTATGTAAGATGTTTGGGTCAAAAAGCATCCACATCTCATTATTTGTTAGCATCTTTTGCATGCCTTAATTTTTTTATTTTTTTTTTACACATTTTTTTTCAAACATAAATTAATTTCATCAGGTAGAGATCTGCGAATTTAAATTATTTTATTTCTATTTTTTAAATGTGCACTGTACAAATAAAGGTTAGATAAAGCATGACTAAGGCGCTCCATGACTTTGTAAAAAGAGCATGGCTGGCCAGCGTGTCCACACAATATGCTCAGTACAGGTTCATGGTTTCACATAAGTCTATATTTTTTGTCTCAGATGTTTTTTATGATTTTCTATGCTTTTTTTTTTGTTTGTTTGTTTGTTTGTTTTTTTCCAAGTGCTGGACGAGATGATAGACCTCTTTATTGTACTGTACCATGTAATGAAGCATGGCAATTTGATGTGTGGATGATGTTTCTGGACTGTGGCTTTAAATGTTTGGGGGCTTTTTTTAAAATTTCTTCCAAAGTTGCCAAGCAGTGAGAACAGCCAGAACGAGAGAACATTGGTGTGAGCTTCTCATAGGTATTCATGCTGTGAAAACAGGTTTTTTTCTAAACCTAAGCACTAGAGAGCGTAATGATAGAAATGTGTACACAGAATTTTTGGTGACGTGTTGACCGTTATGATTCTCTGTGTCGCTAGGATTTAAATTTGACCATGATTTGTATGTTTGGAGATTTTATGTTGTTAAATAGTTCTCTGCCCACGTTTGTCCTGGACTTTATTTGCTGATTATTGAATCCTGTTAAACGGCTTCAGAATGAACCTCTTACTCTCCTATACATGTGTCAATTTGTTTTTTGGTTGTCAGCCTAAATGGTGTTCCTGCTTTGGATTGTCCACTAATTTAGAGCATTGGTGACCAAATATGTTTACCTCTGTAACTGCGATTCATGCCTACCTAGAGACCAGTTAGTCAGAATAAGATATGAACACAAACTGTACAGCCTGATTTTGTGTAAATGGGTACCACGTAAGAAACAAGACCAAATTCAGTGATTTGCAAATTAAACCTTGGATTTAATGCAAAATTGTACAACGGCATATCCATATAGCATAACTAATTTTAGTGTTTTGGTTGGCTGGAAATTGTTGAATGTTTCAATCTATAGATCCTCAGGCAATATTGCAATAAAAGCACACAATTATTTAGGGAAAATCAAGAACACATCAGCATCAGATTCATTTAAACATATACATCGTTGCATTCTATTTTTTCTATGTGGTTTTCAACAGCTGGTGAGGTTTGCCTCTTGTAAAATTGGAAGTGGAAGGAGATGGCTTATATTATGTTAAACGTTTGAAATCTGCAGATAAACTGCGTAACAGATGTTTAAGGTACTTTTGCTAAGAAGTAACTCTTAAACAAGAAAAAATTAAAATACATCAAAACGACTGGCAACAGATGATGCATTATTGCTTGCATATTTATATTTTTTTAAGTTCATAGAAAGTTATCTTGATCACGGAAATTAAAATATCCCACTGATGGAGAGAATTTTGTTTTATATTTTCTGAATGTTCCATGTTTTTGAGCTGGAAAGACTAGTGAGAACCTACATCCCATCCAGGCTCAGGTTTCAGAAACACTCTGCTTTATCACAGAGTAGGATCTGCAGGATCTAAAGGCATGCGCTTGTCTTTCTTGTGACTCTGCTGTCATGTTTTGTTTTTGGTTATATTTTGTATTAATGTGATCCTCCAGTGACAGTATTAATGCCTTAATTTCCAACTTGTAGTAAAATATTAAAATTTTGGGAAGCAGTATTCAGAATAAAAACCTTGTTTCACATGGAATTGGATTAGACCATGTGACATTAACTTGCCCCATGTCCAGTATCAGTGTACAACTGAAGTTTATACCCCTCTGCTGGGATATTTTTTGTGGTGCTAAAGCCTAACACAAGCATGCTAACTGGAAGAAAATGGAAACTGTATGTAGTTCAAACAGCCAGATAGACTAAAGACCTATAGGTAGGTGTGGTTGCTGACTGAATCCATTGCAAGTCTCTAGTACATTTTGTTTTGTTTTTGCTTTAAGTCAGTCTGTGTAGTAAGAGTATTTTCCATTATGAACTAAGAGATGGTCTGACAGGGCAGCTAACATATAGCTCCTTTAGGAGGTGACTTGACTGGCCAAAACTGATCCATATACAGAAGTGGGTGAGAGTTTTCTTGATTGTCAGCTCACTGGGTCTCAGTATCAGGTGAAACTGACTTTTTCATCACATGATTATCAGTAGTCTAAAAGTATGTAAGGTTGTTCAGGTAATGTGTTCACCATTGGGCAATGGTTATTCTATTTGTAGTATTTGTGCCTTGAGTTTTTATGTTACTTTATGACTTTACATTTTTAGCATAGATATTAAAAAATGTTCTATTTTACTGAATTATCAATGATTTTCACCCTTCATATTAATTATATGAAGTCTAAAGGAATATGCAGTATGTTGTTCATGTTTCAGATCCAAAAGGTTTTGATGGAATGTTTTGCATACTTTGTCCTCTCTTGCCTTGATGTCCTGTCATCCTTTAATGATCTACCATGACTAACTGTGGGTCATTTTTAAGAAAATCTTGCCAACGATGCACTAAGACTGAGCTGTCAGGGCAGTGGACATTTTATCCATGTCCTTTGTAGCTGAGGTGCCTTTAAAAATGATAAATAAATAAACAATCTGTGTTTCACATCCTTCCAAGAGAATATAGTTTGAAGGCAACTACATATTTTGTGCAAAGATCCTCAAGCTTTGAGGCTAATCAAAAACAATGGCTACACCTTAAAACATATTTTATTTTCTTCATTCTGTATGGCTCGGTCTTAAAATACATCTGTGCACAAGATATTGTAGGTCATAACTAGTTTCCATGTGCATGAAGACAAGCAGAAACGAGGTTTTGCTTTTATGGCTGGCACAGGTGGTAACTTTCCACTGTGTAGAAAGCGGTTACTAAGAACCTGATGTGATGACGTTATGACCTTGACAGTTTGGGACGTTCATACCTCTTTGGGTGTTTGCCAGTAAGTTCACCATTTTAGTGATAAACCGTCAAGTTCGTTCATATGGTGAAAAAACCCAAAATATGTTAAGTTGCTGTTGTTTATAGCTACAGTGGTTGTTATTTCAGAGTTGATAAAGTTGAGACATTTTCTAAATAATGGCCCAATTGTGTCATGAAAATAAGAGTAATAACTGAAATTTTAAAAAGAAAACAAAATCACTCCCTGTACGGAAGAAGATTAGGGCCACTGGGAAAAAAATCTGAGAAAAAAGTCAGAATTCTAACTTTAATCTCAGAATTCTGACTTTTTCATCAAAATTATTTTTTTTCAGAATTCTGAGATTAAAGTCAGAATTCTGACTTTTTTCTCAGATTTTTTTTCCAGTAGCCCTAATCCTCTTCCGTACTCCCTGCCATGCTCAAGTTGGTCTGAGTATTTTAGATTTCATCCCAGTTCCATCTAAACAAAGTAGCCTGTGTTCTTTGTAGCTCTTTGATCCTAACTGTCTAATTGTCACGTTTTTCATGCCCACGGCTCTATAAAAGAACAAATGAGCCAAACCTGTTAAAATGTTAATGTAGCACCTACTCCCTGGAGTTGTGCCTCTTACTAGCAAGTGCTAGAGCCCTTCATATTGTCAGATTTCCGCGGTCTTTAGTTCCAGACAGTATAAAACAATTTAAGTGTTTTATGTTGTTACTTTGTGAAAGCTTTTTTTTTTCTGTCAATCAAAAAGTAAATAAACACATCAGCATATTCTGGAAAGTGAGCTGTCTCATCTGCTTTCTTGTCCTCATAACATTACATGTATTGTTGTGACATTTATCTCCAAGCTGCCTTGGTGAAGAATGAACTTTAATTGGACTTAGATATGCAGATCCATGTGTGTGTGTGTTTTTTTTTTAACGAGTCGGTGTTTGACTTTGTACAACATGAAAGTAGATTTGAAATCAAACAATGAGACAGGGTCTGTCCCAGCTATCAGTTCAATTCAGTTTTATTTATATAGCATCAAATCCCAACAAGAGTCACTTAAATGTGCTTTACACTGTAAGACAACCTATAATCAGACAACCCCCTAAGACAGGGATATCAAACTCATTTTACATTACTTTCTTAAGTGAACCAGAGCAGTGAAACTCCTCTTTTGGTCAATGTAAAGATATTTAACTAAACATTTAATCCCTTATATTCTAATAAAAGAAAGTATAAGTACACTTGCAGCAATACGTCTCAAAAGTCTGCTCTCTCATGCATCCATCTGAGTATGAAAAAAGAAAGAAAGGACTTACAGAGAAAGAGCATAGGAAAAAAGTGCTGCCGTGAGTGGGTGAATGAGTCAAGTTGTGTAAAGTGCTCAGATAGAGTAGAAAAGCGCTATATAAGAAGCAGTCAGTTTACTAAGTTTAAAGATATCATTTGTCTGCTCTTCTTCAGTGCCTTGTGCCAACAGAGTGCAGAGCAGCTACTTGAACGCTAATCCACAGAGGTTGATTATTTTGTTAATAATTTTACATCTCCATTGCCTATAACTCTGGATACTGTAGCTCTTATGAAAAAAGGGAGCCTCAAATCAGACGTACTTGACTCCCTGGTTTGACTCTCAAATGCGCACCTTAAAGTAGATAGCTCATAAGCTGGAGAGTACTGACAGAGACTAGAAAGAGAGATCATATTTGTCCTATATTCATTGACTCCCTGTTAAATGAGAGCACTATCACATAATGAGAAAACATACTTTTGCGTTCAAGAAACATCCATCTATCCTTTGCATGCTAAATGCAACAATCACCACACCTTTTCCCCCCGCATTTATATTTTTGGGATCAGTTCATCCTGCGCATGCATTACAGAGTGGAAAATCAATCAAGCTTATTGATTTTAGCTCAGCAACACTCCACTGGGTTCACTGTCATTTTCACTAAGCTTCAGATTCATGATGAACTCGTTTTGGTATGGTATTCCTGCTCGGGGGCCACTCGTTCCCATGAGCACAATTGCAATGAACATGATTGGCCTTTAAAAAAAGATTTAGGTTGATGTTATGAGCCAACTTCCAGTGTCAACTTTCACATGAATGCAATTGTGATGCAACATTTTTATATCACTATATTTGATGTGACTAGTATCATTCATTTCTTTTGCTTAAATACTGTTGTTGATCATATGACCAAATTATTAAGCTTGAAACTGACTTTCACACAGTCTACCACTCCTTCATGTGTTTTTGGAATACAGTTGACAGCTACTGACAGCCATTGTTTACACCAATGGAAGATTTTCTTGGAGCAGTGTTATGCTGATTTGATCATCAATTGAATGGTCCTAACCACATCTGCCCATGTGTACTCCACGTGTCTACATACTGCAACAACAACAACCACCACCAACTCTTTTTTTCCCCATAGCCTACAAGAAGATGTCCTTGTAGGCTATGATGCATATTGGACTGCCAAATCTAACACACTCTGAAGGGTTCTTTAACCAGAATAACACCTCTTGTCAAAATGCCCTGAGATGAGATTGGTTCCAACTGCCCTTCCTAATTCCTACTTTGACTACTTTTATCCTTGTTCGGCATACAATGACCATTTAGCTGCATTAGTTTCCTATCCTCCGTAGAGCCCAGGGGCATAGGTGGGCTGATGGGTAGGAAGGCAATGGGGCTGGTTGGAACACTGTGGCTAGCAGGATTTCTTGACCTCTCAATGTCCTGGATAAAAAATCGATTGGTTCCGTTGGAGCCATCTACTAACAAAAGTGTGTTCTGTAGA